CTTGCCTGCAGACCCCAGGCGACCAGACCAGTGATCAGAGAGGCCGAGCAAAAACCCAAGACAGCACAAGAACGCTCCAAGAAGGACCCGGATGGCCTCCAAACTCAAAAGGCGTCTAAGACAGCCCGGGAGGCCCTGCACAGGACTCCCAGAACACGGAAACCCTTTCTTTCCGTGAGGAAAGCGTGCCTTTTCGGCCACTTCGCTGTTATGGCTTGAACAGCATCCAAAACAGCACAAGAAGCCTCGGGCATCGCCCCAAGATTGCCCAAGAGGCCCCCAAGACAGCTTCTAGACTGTCTGGATGGCCCCAGGACTGCCCGAGGAAACCCCACATCTGCCAAAAAGAAGCCAAACAGGCCCTCACAAGGCCCCCAAAAACGCCACGGGAGGCCACCAGAAGGGCCCACGTAGCCCCCGTCAGATCCCTAGAGGGCTCCAGCCCCCCAACACGGCCCAAAATGGCCCCAGGACGGCTCGAGAGGGCCCCAAGCCGGCCCACCAGAGCTCCGACAAGGCCCACACGGCGTTTTCCACCAAACTGACCCGAACCCCAGGTTCGCAACCACATTTCCCGGAAATCTGTCTGGAACCCAAGATTCGGTGCAGTCCCCAAGGATTGCTTGCTTTTGCGTGCCCCGCTGCGACCCGCTGCAACATGACATCCTCGGCTTGGCAATGCGTTGTACTTTGCGGCATTGCTTGACATTGCGTCGGTTCGCGTGGCATTCATTCGCGTGGCTTCCCATGCCTTCGCGTTGCGCACCAGGGCACCTGAGCCACGAGCGGGCCAAATGTGCGGGCCTACGAGGGCCTTTCGTCGTCACTCACTGCCAGACACTGCTGCAAGCGTGCACGTACACATGAAGCCGTAGCCATTGGCTTCTGGACAGCGCTCCACCGTGCGGCGCAGCCGAAATTCTTCGGCATCCCCCGACGGCGGGTCCTCCTCCTCTTCCTCCACCTCCTCCACCTCCTCCTCCTCCTCCTCCTCCTCCTCCTCTGTCTTCCGCTCCACCGCTCGTCCTCCCCAACATCTGCTTCCCTCTCTTCGCTCCCCGAGACTCCCTCCCTATCCTTCGCCCTCCTCCCAGCGCCTTTCGAGAGCCCTTGGAGGCCTGGGAAGCGCCACGGACCGCCCGAACTTCCGAAGATTTCTGACAAGCACCGCAGGGAAGGGGCCACATCTCCAAGGCCACTCGGGATGGCGCGAACGACCAACATCAGCAAAGCCTCAAGGACCAAGGTGCATGGCGCGAAGCGCCAATGCAGTCTTGTATATGTGTATATATATATATATACTAGAACCACGCGCGCGCTTCGCGCGCGCTTAGGTTCTGTCGAGTCACAGACCCAGGAACCGTTGTGAGAAGAAATTGGTGACGCGAAGCGTCGTGGGGGCGTCCTTGGACGTCTGGGGTCTCCTGGGGCCTCTTGAGGGGCCTCCTGGGGGCCTCCTGGCGGCCTCTTGGGGCGGAAGGCTCGAGCTTGCGGTTCGTGGTCCCCCTCTGGGCCCCCTCTTGGGCCCGTCTTGGGGCCCTCTTGGGCCATCTTGGGCGCCTCTTGGGCCGTCTTGGGGCCCTCTTGGGCTGTCCTTGGGCCTCCTTTGGGCCTCTTGGGGGTCTCCTGGGGCCTCTTGAGGGGCCTCCTGATGGCCTCCTGGCGGCCTCTTGGGGCGGAAGGCTCGAGCTTGCGGTTCGTGGTCCCCCTCTGGGCCCCCTCTTGGGCCCGTCTTGGGGCCCTCTTGGGCCATCTTGGGCGCCTCTTGGGCCGTCTTGGGGCCCTCTTGGGCTGTCCTGGGGCCCTCTTGGAAGCTTCTTGGGCCGTCTTGGGGCGGTCTTGGGCGCCTCTTGGGCCGTCCTGTAACGTCGGAAAACCCAAAAGACAACTTTGTTGAAATGTACGTTTTACGAAGGGAATGGGCAAATTTTTGCGTCTAGGGGCCCTCTTGGGACGCATGTTGGAGGCTTCTTGGGGCCTCTTGGGGGCGTCCTTGGACGTCTGGGGTCTCCTGGGGCCTCTTGAGGGGCCTCCTGGGGGCCTCCTGGCGGCCTCTTGGGGCGGAAGGCTCGAGCTTGCGGTTCGTGGTCCCCCTCTGGGCCCCCTCTTGGGCCCGTCTTGGGGCCCTCTTGGGCCATCTTGGGCGCCTCTTGGGCCGTCTTGGGGCCCTCTTGGGCTGTCCTGGGGCCCTCTGGGAAGCTTCTTGGGCCGTCTTGGGGCGGTCTTGGGCGCCTCTTGGGCCGTCCTGTAACGTCGGAAAGCCCAAAAGACAACTTTGTTGAAAATGTACGTTTTACGAAGGGAATGGGCCAATTTTTGCGTCTAGGGGCCCTCTTGGGACGCATGTTGGAGGCTTCTTGGGGCCTCTTGGGGGCGTCCTTGGACGTCTGGAGGCCATCTTCAGCATCTCGGAGCCCTCTTGGAGGCCTCTTGGAAGTTTCTTGGGCCGTCTTGGGCGCTTCTTGGGCCGTCTTGTCTGACTGGGGAGGCCTCCGGCAAGCCCCGACGAGCCTCCGGGCCCCCCGGGGCGCACATTTGTGGTCGAGGTCCCGGCCCCGGGCCCCCGGACCCGGTGCGCCGTTATATGTATACACGTACATACAAACATACACACAAAGCCGAGGAGGAGGAGGAGCAGCAGATGTGACAGCGACGCGGGAAGAGAGGAGGACGAGGGCGGGGCGTGCGGGGCGGGAGCTGACTGCACTACGCAGGTGCCGCTGGGCCACACGCGCGCGCTAGACAAGCGCAGCGGCACGCCGCTGGCCAGCCGCAATGCGGACAGGCAGTGCGAGAGAGGACAGCAGCGGCAGCAGGCGGGGCGAGGCGCGGACGAGCAGACGCCATCCGCTACAAATCAGGCCCACGTGGGGAACTTGTCTCGCGACGTGGAGTGGCTCGGGCTTAAGGACCAGAAGCAGGTGGCACCGTGGAGTTTTGCAGGGTGTTCGCAGAGGACGAGACCGTCGTCGGCAGATGGCTGGGGTACGGCCAGGTACGCTTCCCCACATACACAGCCGCTAAGAAAACCATAGTCACGTTGGGCGAGACGGAGCTCAAGAACAGAAAGATTCGAGTTCGGACGTGATCTGGCGCAGAGAGACGTCATCTACAATCAAAACGTACACCAAGGACGGATGATAAGGACGCAATACCCTTGGAGGCCGAAGTTGGAATTTGTTAGGCGGCGGGCGACCAATGAGAACGGCAAAGGACGGGCCGCAGAGACAAGGACACAAGGGTACCCTAGATGAAGGCGCGCGTCCTTACTGGGCGCGTTGACTGTACCACGTGCCTAGCGGAACGGTGGCGTTGTGTGAGAAGAGCTGGACTCGCCCAACCTGGGATCTGAAGTAACTTAGGGGATGGACAGAACCCCCTTTAGCAAACCGTGGTTTGGTGAAAACGACCTCGGACCCAAACCTGGCGGGCGCAAGCCTGGAACACGACGACCGCGGCGCCCTCTCGAGAACCGACAACGGACAATTCACTAATCGACGTGTCAGGGTGGGGTTTCTGCCCACCCCCGACAGCTCCTGCCCAGCGCGAGCCGGAGGCAGGGCCTGCTGCAGCTGGCCAGCGCGTGCGAGAATCGCAGGCAGAGGAGCGGGAGACGGGGATGGGACCGCGGCGGCCTGGCCAGGGGGCCTCGAGCGCCCGAGCGCAGTGCGGCTGTGTGTGGGGGAGCCCGCATGGACGTGCGAGAGAGAGGGAGAGAGATGCGGAGGAGGAGGAGGAGGAGGAGGAGAAGGAGGAGGAGGAGGAGGAGGAGGAGGAGGAGGAGGAGGAGGAGGAGGAGGGGGGGTAGGAGGAGGGGGAGGAGGAGGGGGAGGAGGAGGAGGAGGAGGAGGAGGAGGAGGAAGGGAGAAGAGGAGTGGGGAGAAGACGAAAGAACAATGCGGACGGATGAGAAGCTGGAGAAACAGGAGGAGAAGGATGAGGAGGAGGAGGAGGAGGAGGAGGAGGAGGACAGGGGGGGAAAGAGGAACAAGAAAGAGAAGGAAAGTGGAGAGGGAGCGATACGGACTGCGAGACCACAGAGCCACTGTAGTCGTTGCATCCTGGGAGGAGGGGCAACAGCAGCAGCAGAGCCAGAAGGATCCTGCCATGCACCCTAACTGGCCACACCAGTGTGGCTCCATGGGGGGGAACAGGGAGCTGAAGGATGCGCGACCTTGGACGAGGGGGAAGGGGAGGCGGCGGCGGAGGAGAGCGAGGTGGATGCGACGGGTGGAGGAGGACGGGGAAGATCAAGCGGAGGAGGAGGAGGAGGAGGAGGCAGGAGAGGACAATGCAGAGGGGGGAAGATGGAGGAAGCGATGATGAAGCAGGAGGAGGAGTGGAAGAGGCGGAGGAGGACAAGGAGAAGGAGGAGGAGGCAGGGGAGGACAATGCGGAGGGGGAGAAGAAATAAGATGCGATGATGATGAAGGGGGAGGAGGAGTGGAAGAGGACGCAGAGGAGGAGGACGAGGAGGAGGACGAGGAGGAGGAGGAGCAGGAGGAGGAGGAGGGGCTGGCCAGGATGCGAACAAAATGCGCGAGAAGGAGGAGGACCGAGCGGAAGGAGGCCCGAGCGGAGAAGAAGTGGGGAGGAGGGCAGTCCCAGGCCTCCGACGGATGTCTTGCTTCTTTCAGGGCGGGGCCCCCGCCGGAGCTCTGGACCTCGTCCCCACGGATCGACTGTGACGGTCCTGGGGCCCGGCGATAAGACGAAGCCAAGACGAGGACAAATTAAGGTGAGGATAATCCGAGAAACTCTGGCATCCGCCGGCTCTGGAGGATGGCTCGGGTGCGGCGGCCGTCTCCGAGCGTTCGGGAACGCTGTGAGAGCGTCGCGGAACGCTCTGGAACGGATTTGTCCTCGTCCTAGCCCCGCCAAAAGCGAGGGCCCACGGAGACCGAAAACGACGGAACATCTCCGTCCTGAAGTTCCCAATGGGCTGGAGGTCTGGGGAGCGGGGGTGTTAGGAGCTGCGAGCACGCGGAGGGCGAGGGCACCCGGCGGACGAAGAAGCGTTGGTGGCCAGCTTGGCGCTGCGAGCGTTGGCCTTGATGTCGGAGGTCCTCGCGCCTTGGCGCGGTACGTCCTCCGCAAAGTCGCCGGAGAGATCGCCCAAGCGTCGCCCAGTCGCTTCCCTCCAAGGGGACCGAAAGGCGAGGAGGAGGCATTGGGGCATTAGAAGCTCAGACAAAGGTGCACGTCGAGGAGGAGGAGGAGCAGCAGCAGCAGCAGCAGCAGCGGCAGGCACAAATAAGAAATTCTTATGAGTGGGAGGAACGGAACGGAATGGGCAGCAGGGGGAGGGATATCAGGAGAAGGGGGACGTGTGACGAGAAGCGCGGGAACTGAGAGGGGAGGGACGTGCAATTGCCCGCCCCCCGCCTCTCGAAGAGAGACGCGGCCTCCGCCTTCTTCCGGAGGCCCTCCGCGAACTTGTCTCCGAAGTGCTTGTCCTTCACCTCGTGGAACCGGAGGCCCCGCTGCCTGAGGCTGAGCCTCTCGCTGCGGGTGATCCGCTCTACCCTGATGTCATCGACCTCCTGCCCAGAGGAGCCAGCTGTACCACTCCTCCTCCTCCATTCCTCCATTCCTCCATTCCTCCTCCTCCTCCTCCTCCTCCTCCTCCTCGTCTTCCTTCTCGCCCTCGTCCTCCTCCTCCTCCTCCTCCTCCTCCGCCTCCTCCACTCCCCCTCCTCCTCCTCCTCCTCCTCCTCCTCCTCCTCCTCCTCCTCCTCCTCCTCCGTGCCTGGCCAGGGCCACCCTGGGCCCCAGAATGGTGCACAGACCCTCGTGGCCCCGGGCAGGCGGGCGTGCAGACCAGCTGCGCCTACGAGCGACGCCTCTGGCGAGGGGGGAGCTCAGGTGCGCGGCCTGCCGATCGTGGCGCGCGGTGCGAGAACAGCGGCTTGCGTGCTCGGGTCTGGCCTGCCCCCGCCGCCCCCCCCCCCCAGACGCGCCCCTCGAGTGCCGCAAGGGCCACTCCTGCGCTCCGCTGGACGTGCACCACGGTCAACCCGTAGACTTCAAGGACGCGCGGTAAGGATGCAAGGGCCTTGGAAGGCCATGTCCAAACTTTGCGAGCGGGGCGCGGCCAGCAAGAGCGGCCAAGGAATGGCCTAAGCGGATGGATACAAGGGTACAAGGGTAACCTTGGAAAGTCGCTCATCCTTACGATGCGGGTTGGCTGCATGCCTGCCAGGGCCCGCCTTACTGGCCTGGGCCAGGCACTGGGGTGGTGAACGGCTGCCTCCTCTAGGATGATGGAAACGGGTCCTGAGGGAAACGGGTCCTGGACTCCAGGGACTTCTCTTCAGGACCAGTTCTTTACCCTTCGACTGCGACCGAGGGGGGCAAATGACAAGGAGAAGGCCTTCTCAGAAGGCGGCGGGACTTCTCAGAAGCCCTCGCGCCTTCTGAGAGGCTTTCTGTCTTCAGGGAAGGCTTTGAACACTTCTCAGAAGGCCGAGACACTTCCGAGCCTTCCAAGAAGGTCCGCCCCTTCTCATTTCACCCCAGGACTTGCCGCCGATCCCGAGGAGATTGGTTTCACACGATTTCCGGAAAAACGGTCGTTACCTGGAGGGGGGGTGCGTGGGGTCCTGGGTAACTGTGACGCTTGGGCGGGGCGGGGCACGCCTGGGCGGGGTAACGCTGCGATCGCCACAAGGTGCGCGCGGGCACCAGCATGTGTGGAGGGGGTGTCCAGCCCCCGCCCCCCACGTACGATCGTGACCGTTACCCGGGTGGGCCCCGGGTGGGAGGGGGAGAGTGTTGGCCAGGGTAAAAACCGCTACGAGCCAGAGGAGAAACCAACAACAATCTCGGGGCCCGTGGAGACCCTCCAGAAGCTGAAAGCGTCGACTCATCTCCAGGCCCCGTTTCACTGAGTACCCGCTTGCTTCATGGCGACTACTGCGTATCCTGGATGTCCAGGGTCGCCCTCTGGCCGGCGTAGCGGATGCGCTCGGCGCCCGTTGTCGAGGCCGCCGCGAAGAGGCACGCGAGCCCGAGCCATGCCCCTCCCAGAGGGGAGCGGCAAAACATCGGCGCGAGGCCGACCCAGTAGTTCACAAATGACGTGTAGGCGTGTGTGGCGCGCGTATATCGGGTGTTCCTAGGGGTGCTCATGGCCCGGACTTGTTCGCACAGTTGGAGGTCTCTTTGGGCCATCTGGACATCCCTGGAAATCCTGGTGACATCTTGGGCCAAGGGCACCTTTGGGAACACCCGCATAGAACTCCAGCTGGCCTGGCGGCCAAGACGGAGGTGGGTGCCACCTAGGCGAGACTTGGTCCAAATTGCACATGGGGAGAATGAGGGGGGGCCTTGGCAGACAAAGAGCATGCAGATGTGACTCAGGAGGAGACGAAGGAAGGAAAGGGGAGGGCCCCCATTTTGTCAGCGCCTACGGTTGGGAACTCTTGCTTATCGTGTCGCGGCGGCGGCGGAGACCAGCTATGCCCTGCGAGGTGATAGCGTGTCGCTCCGCTCCGCGCGGCAGGAGGCTTGGAAATGCTCGGGACTTTGACGCTTGGGGGCCGCGAAGTGGATAGCGTGTCGCGCCGAGGCGTGGTGGGCCAGAACAACTGGAGCAACACACTCACCAACAGTTCCCGACCGTACTCCTCTCTCCTTCCTCCCCCTCCCCTCGGCTAAACGCCAGAGTGACCTCAGCCAAGAGTGACCTGTGGTGCGCGGCCTAAGCGGGGGCCCCTTGGGGACACCACCGGCTGCACGCGCCGCTGCCGATCACATCGCACTCGGCGATCGGGGAGGCCCCCTTGGGGCCCTCGTGGCGGCGCGCAGGGGGGTAGGGGGAGGGGGGGAGGCTGCTGAGAAGCAGGCTGCTTCTTAGAAGGCCCCTGCCTTGCACCTTCAGAGAAGCAGGGGTGCCTCCAAGAAGCCTTCCCCCCCTACCCTTAGGTCGTGCAAGTCCCCCTACAGGGGGATTTTGAACGAAAAATAAAAAAAAAATCCCAATAATCTCAAAATATGCTCAAACATGGTAAACACATAGTCCCCAGACGATTTTTGACTGTTTTTGAATATTCCCCCTGTAGAGGGACAGGCCCGACTTCACCCCCACTCCTCCTCCTCCTCCTCCTCCTCCTCCTCCTCCTCCTCCTCCTCCTCCTCCTCCTTCTCCAGGCAGCGCGCCCGCCGAACGCGTGCGGGGAGCAGGCCTCCGGGGCCCGAGCTGCCGCAGCGGCGGCACGCGGAGGCCAGGCGCGAGAGCGCCGGGATGCTGGAAGCCTCCTCCGCCTCCTCCTCCGCCTCCTCCTCCGCCTCCTCCTCCTCGTGCTCCTCCTCCTCCTTCTCCTCCTCTTTATCCTCCTCTTTATCCTCCTCTTTATCCTCCTCGTCATCCTCCTCCTGCTGCATCCGGGAGGGGGAGAGCGCCGGGATACACGCCGGTCGGAAGTAGGTAAAAGCATGACGTATCACTGCACCGACTTTGCAGACATGCTGCAGCGAATTTTCGCGCGGATTTCTGCCAATGCCCGACCCCGAGCCGGCGAGCGAAAAACAGGATGATCCGGGCCCGCCCCATTGCTTTCCGAACGAAATCCGCTCTGCGATGTTTGCGCCATGGGAAATAGGAAGGCGGATCAAGTCGATGGGGTCCACCAAGCCCTCCCAAACATTTGCAGAACACAGCAAAGGCATCTCGATTCTTGAAGTAGGAGGTCGCTTGAGGTAGGGGCTGGGATCTGGGAGTCCCAAAAGACCTGCCTCCAACGGCTGGCATGCATCCCCCCGTCTTGGGCATGCCGCAGGAGAGGGCGCTCTTCGAGGCGTCGTGTGCGGGCCGCCGCCCGCAGCGCCCCAGGCTCCCCGCGGCACACTGAGGGCGAGAGGGGCAGAAGGCGGCAACATCAAGCGCCCGGCCCCCGATGGCTAGATGGCGGTTCGGGCGCCACCCCACCAGACTCAGTCGCTGGACGCGACTACCAAAACGACGACCTGGGCTCCCAACCCGCACCAGCTTTCCAAGTTGGTGCGGGCTGGGAGCCCGGGTCGCGAGGGGGGGCGACGGGCAGCGCGGCAGAGCGCACAAGACCCAAGGAAGACAGGCACAGAACGCCCCGGGGCCGTCGGGCCCAAGCCCCCGGCGTCCCTCCGCCTCCGCTTCGTCCTCCTCCAAGTCTGGCGGTGGCAGGGCGGAGGGCAGAAGCCGGCGTGGTGAGATCTTGAGGGTGTGGTGGTATAGCGGAGGGGGGGGGAGGGAGCAAGAGTGAGAGGTCTGGGGCCCCCTTATCTCTCTCCTCTTATCTTTCTCTTGTTGTTTCTTTTCTTTTCCCCTGGCCAGTGGTATATATATAGAGAGAGGGGGGGGGGGGGCAAAACATACTTACCCGCATATGGCGCACATGTGTGGATATATCGAATTAGATATACGTTTCAACAAATGGAAGAATTCTATATATATATATATATATATAGTTGCATGCATGTGTGTATTTAGGATGTGCATATCCGCCACGGGAAAGGTTTGAATCTATGTTTCGCGATAGCGGCCGTTACCAGCACCGACCTCCCCCCCCCGCCCCAGGTAACGTCACGATCCGTGCTGACGTCCGAGCTGTTTTCGGTTACTTCTAGGCATTCCCAGACGCCGCCGGCGCGGGTCCTGACGTTACCGGTCCCCCTCCCTCTCCCCCCCCCCTCCGAGAAAGCGAGAGAGCGAGAGAGGGACATCGCCACACACACAAAGAGGCTGAACAAACACCATTGCACCTAGTGGTTTTGTCATGGATGTCCCAGATGCCGCAGATGGAAAGATACATCCTGGGGGGCTACCGCGCTGATGCTGATTGCAGTGTGCCCCCAATACATTTCAAACATTCCCCAAGCAAGGCTTGCAGTTAGAGCCTCTTACTCGTGGCTTCTATGTGGGCGCCGTCGTCGCCCCGTCGCCGCCTGTCGTCTGGGCCTGAAGGTCGGTCCAGCGGCTATGCAGCCGCCGTCGCCCCCCCGACGCCGCCCGTCGTCTGGGCCTGACGGCCGTCGCCGCTCGTCGCCACCGTTAGATTGCACATTTGCACTGCGTTGCATCGATTTGCATGTCGTTGCTTTGCCGTGTGTTGTGTTGCTGTGCGTTGCTTTGTTTTGCATGGCATCGCGTTGCGTAGCTTTCCAGTGCGTTGTGTTGCATTGATTTGCGTTGCTTTGTGTTGCATTGCATGTGCATGTCAGGCGTATTGCATTTGTACGCAGTGCCTTGGATTGCGTTGCGTTGCCCAGCATGACATTGGCCTGAATTGCTTAGCGTCGATGTGTGTTGCTTGGCATTGCTTGGCATTCCTTGGCACTGCTTCGCAATGCAAAATCACCCTGCCAAATCGAAAGTTGTCAGCTCGACTGCTCGCGCAATCATCCCGCCCTCCCGCCCGCAACTCCCACCCTCCCACCCTCCTGCGGAGTCCTGCGGAGTCCTGCGGATTTTCGTAAGAATTCGCAGGAGCGCGAGCGCAGTCATTTAGGACAACTTTTGTTTCAAAACCAACTGCTTTTTCAAAACATGTTTTTTCGACACACGCAATGTTGCAACCCCTGCGTGATTTCAAGTGTTTGAGGGGTTTCCGTATGCGCGCGCGACGACGCCCGTGCGTGCACTTCGCCCCGGCCTGCGCAGGGGATTCTTGCGGCAGCACGCGCGCAAGGGCGATCGAGCGATTTCGCCATGCGCGCGCGAGACGCACGTTCCGTAGCGTGTTATGAACATGTCGTGAAACGTGGGGTATCTGCAACAATATACAAGAGCGTGAACGCAATTTGTTTAGCGTTGTTTGTTTGTTGCGAGCCAACGATTTGCTTTATATGTGTTCGGGTCGCTCGGTTTTGAACTCCTTACAACCCTATGGTTGGTCAGGGATTCCGACATGCGCGCGCGACGACGCGCGCGTGCGCACTTCGCCCCCCCTGTCGCAAAACATTCTTGAAACGGATGATCTTCGATAGAAGAGCGCGCGCAAATTGTTTGCAGAGGATGAGGGGGGGCGATACGAGTATGTATGAACTCACAGATCGGATGGACGATGGGGCAGAAACGCATGAAAATTGTAATTCGCGAGTGGGGGCCCTCAAATCCGGGGGAGACGGGGGTCGATCCTATTATTCTGTGAATCACCCTGCCGGACTTGAAATTGTTTTCTCCACTGTTCGCGCAATCATCCCACCCTCCCGCCCACAACTTGGTTTGCAAAATCCATGCGGCGGCGATTGCGATGACTATTTGGCGCTGGTTTGCGCGTCGCCGCGGCCGCGTTCGTGTGTATGCTCGCGCGCGCAGCTGCCAGCTATTTTGGCGCGACCGACGCGGCCGCAGCGCGCTGACCGCTGGGCACTTCCCAGGGGGCATTTCAGTGTGAGTCGACGAGTTGGGCGGGCGCGGTATCATGGCAACGTCGGCAACAGTAAGCACGACGATGGTAGCAGCGATGCTGGCGACGATAGTGACAACGACGACGACGATGCTGATCACGGCGACGACGATGATGGCGTCCTCGCGTCGGTGGTGAAGGTTTTCGAAGGAGTTCGGCATGCACGCGCGGACGATGCGCGAGAGTGGCCCGCATGGTTTTATTGACACGGATCGCGCCCCCCCCCAGCACGCGCACAAGGGCGTTCGAATGATTTCGACATGCGGCGCAAGAGGCCCGTATGGCAACATGTACTGGACATGTTGAAACACCCATGGTTTTCGTGAGAATCTGCAAAAGCGCGAGCGCATTCTTTTTGAAAAACTGATGTTGCCAAACCATGTGCAGTTATATGATTTCGACATAAACGATTTTGCAACCCCTGCAAATTCTCAGGTTGTTGAAAGATTTCCGCATGCGCGCTCGACGAAGCGCGCGTGTGCATCTCGTCCCGTTTGTTGGAAGGGGTTCTTGCGACAACACGCGCGCAAGGGCGTGCGATCCGACATGCGCGCGCGAGAGGCACCCTTTGTAGCATGATCGGACAATGTTGAGCAACCGATGGGTTTGTAAGAATCTGCAGGGGAGCGAGCGCA